AATGAATTCCTGACACTTGGGGAGGGGGGAAAACCAAACCCAGTGATTCTACATGTAATCTCTGAACACAACTTTGAAAATTGGAGCCAGTTTTGATAGAAAAGTAGATGCAACTTCACATAGAGAGTACTTCTGGGGCAAGGGTAATGTTCTATTTCTTGACGTGGGTGGTGGTCCTATAGGAATTTATGGCTGTTCTTTACATTGTTTAAGCTTTACGTATGCATCTGTATGTATGATCTATATCACAATAAAAAAAAGTAATGAAATTTTCTTCAAAGACCTTTAGGAGGTCAAATCCTTTGGCGTACTACTTCTGAGATTCAGGGAGTAGGAGGTGATATTTCAAAGATTATTCCAGACCTCTGATTCTGTATTTAATACATATTAGTCCATCCATCGCTGCCGGCTCTCTATATTAGGGAATGTTTAAAGGTTAAAAAAAAAAAAAAAAAAAAAACAGAAACCCTTCCATCTTAATCAATATTTTCAACCAAGAATTAAGAATATTCACAACATATATGTTATCGTAACAGGTTATCAAATGAAGCAGAAGCTGCAACTCTGGCCTCTGCTCACTATTTTCTTGTTATTTTTTATGTGCTGATCATAGAAACTCGTGATGAAACAACTCTTCCTTCTGAAGTCACAATAAATTAAAACAAAAGCAAACATCCACTTTGACAGTATAATTACAATGATGCTACGCTTCTCTTATAAATAATAAGAATTACCATTCAACTAAAACTTAATGAGTTTACCTAAGTTTCTCTGCCACATAGGAAGAAAACAGAAGTTAAGAAATTATTTTTAAAAAAAGAAATTATTAACTCAGAGTTGCATTTCTTTTTCCCTTCTCTCCTTTATATTCAGCTGAATTTATCATTTTACCATCTACTAATAGACATTTCAGAAGAAAAACATAAAAGGATCTTGAAACGTACCTATTTTAACAACAACAACAAAAAATAGACTTCAGTATTTGTGTTGTTTATATTCTTTCCCTTTTGGGGGCAATAATTTATGTCCAAGGAACCTAATGACCATTCTTTAAAACTGCTATGACTAAAGAGGGTAAAAACACACGTAGACTTAAGAAGGCTGCACTGAAATACAAAAATGCCATGACGTTTAAAGTCGATGACCACTAAACTGGATGATACTCATTTATTTATTTTTTTAAACTATTGGAAAAGATGGCAAACAGTTTTAAAACCTTAAGAATGAACTTGATAAAATCATTTTCTTTTCATCTTAGAAGTGGGCAAATAAAAACATGTCACTATTGAAAATGTAAACTTTTAAAAATGTTTAAAAATCTTCCCATGAAAACTTCTAAATATCTATACTTATTCCTTCAAATGTATGATGACACCACCCATATAAAATATTTTAGAGCCAGGCATGTTTTTTCAGTGATACTGTATAATTTAAGGTGAGCCACATAATGGATTGCATTATCATGAATCATACAGCTCTTCAAATGACTTATCTAATTTCACTTTCCAGTGCATATATAAAACCACATATATAATTACGTTGTTTTTCTGTATGCCTGTTAGGTTTCTTCTGATTAATTCTAAATGTGGTTCAGAATCCTGCTCTCTTCGGCTGTGAAATATATAAATAGTAAAACAGAGGAAACAAGTTATTAATGTACCTTTCACATGTTATTTAACTGACAAGAATGCATTTAGTTTCTTAAATGAATCCCCTACTATGTTACCTTTTATGCTTTCATTTAATCAGTCATGTCTTAGAAGAGAAGTACATTAGAGGCTTGAAATTACTGTAAGAGCAAGTACTGTAAGATTAAACAATTCATTAATTTGGTTAAAAAAAATCCAAAGTAAGTCATTGAAACTTATTTTCTCCAGACACTGTGTTAGCCTCTGGAAAAACAAAGATAAACAGAATCATGCTGACCTGGCTTTCACTGGAGCAGTCGGGGGTGGCATAGTAAGGGATGGAAGACAAACCTTACAAGGCAATGTGAGAAGGTCTATAATCATAGCAAATCCAGCATGTGTGGTCTGCAGAGGATGAAGCAAGGGCGTGATGGAAGGATCAGGAAAGCCTTCTGATATACGTAATCCTGAGTGAATTCTTAATAGGAAATAAGTGAAAGCATGTTAGGGAACGACAGCCCATCTGTATCTGGAAGATCTCTGAGTGGGTGGAAGAGGAATAACGTGGCATTGGCTTCACCTCTGGGTACATGAAAGTTGTGAGTGCAGCCAGGCTCCCAAGGATCAGGGAGAGGGTCAAGGGGAAAAGGCACAAGAAGGAAGGCTCAGCTCTTTCCTCATGAAGTGAGTGGCCTTCACCTCCTACCTTAGTGGTGCACCCACCGCTCTCTCACTACTTGCTAGTTGGGCTTATTCAGACTGAATGCTTTCATTTGTTCCAGTTGTTTCTTGTTCACCTTTTTCACAAGAAGGTAAGTTTCAAGAGCACAAGGAGCTGTATTTCCAGGCCCTGTAATAATGAATGCCTGGCATAGCATATCGTAGGCACTTGATAATATAGTTGAACAGAGGCATTAAGTCAGTGAGAAAAGAGAAGTAAAGAGGAGGGAGGAAGAAGGAATGTGAAGAGTGGTCCACACAGAAAAGAACAGGATCAGGGAACAATGAGCCACTGTCTCAGACGGTACCCAGGGCACCGATCCCTAGGCGAACTGGGAAACCATTACCCAGCAGAATGTTCAAAAAGAACATTTTGAAAAGGCTATACCTATCATGTACTGCAAAAGCTTGTCAGATCAGAAGCCAGAACGTCAACTGCATTTTACACATACTGCTATTTCAAGTGTAAAGTAAAAAAAAAAAAAAAAAAAAAACACATCTTTAATGGGGAGTATTATAATTGAGAGCGTATTCAAGTAAGTACCTTTTCCAACATAAAATATTAATCTTTTCAATAATCATATTTGTAAGAAAGAAATAGAGCACTATTGTGTGAACCGTAAGTTCAAATTCCTTCCCTGAGCACTTAAGTTTTTTCAGTCATCACTATATTAATCTGCCTTCTTTGCATTTTACTGCTGTTATATTCAAAAATTCAATTTCCTAGACAAATGGCAATTCAGGAACACAATTCAAGTGATATATTATTCCCTTTGACTACAAAGGTATATTTTCCCATTCAGAGGTTTTTTTCATTCAAATCTGGCAAAAGCTGTTACATCACACAACATACACACTCTGCTTTCTCAACTACTATAACGTAGAGCAATTTCTACAATTCCCTCGTCCTTTGTCTGAAATGCTGAAAATGTCTTTGAAATTCAAATTAAATCACAGAGAGAAGTTACTTGTTGTTTTCTTTGACATTAACTTGAATATTTTAATTGTATTCGGTGTATCTTGCAGGTTAAAAGTAAAATGTCACGAGCCTTGTTATTTAAATTCCATATATGAAAACCATCTCTGCCTGAAATATTTTGACATACACAAGGCAACACTGTACCTAGTAACACTGCTTAGCAAAAATTAAGTATCTTTGGGTATTATAATTCTTCCTGGGTTTTTTTTTGGGGGGGGATTGGGGGTTTCCCCCAGTTTTAGTACACTTTTTTCTACTTCATCGTTAGATATGTGAATCCTGCCAAAAGAAATGCTGGATTTAAAAGGAGAAAATGGTGTGTGTTCTTGTTTGATGAAGAATCTCGTCTGAACGATTTACAGACCCGATTCCAATAACAAGGAAGGTTTTTCAGCCTGTCAACCCAGCCACCACCAATGATAGATATACTCTTTAATGAGCCGGCAGCTGAGTAAATTTCTTTAAGTGTACCCAAACCCCATCTTCCATGAATAGATGGTTATTGGTTATTGCTTAGCTTATACATATTCACAGAAGCCAATATGCACCCTCCTGAAAAGAGAAGGAACCAGCTGGATGCCTCTAGCCATGGCCTATAAACCTGGGGACTGCTACCCTTTCAAAATAGGCTATAGTGAGGGCTATGTGTGGCAAAATAGACATACAAGAATGCTTTGGAAACTATAAAAATGCTGCACACACATACACAGGATTCATATGATCAAGTCATGACTCAAACAGTATGATGGATGTCACTGATTCCTCTTTCCCTTTCACGTAAGATCTGAGCTACAAGGGGAAAAATGCAGAGGCTGAAAAATATACAGAAGTGGTCCCTTTGCACAGGGAGGGCTCTGTATACACTACAGGCAGCACTAAGCGCACAGTAAGTAGTTAGCTACCATCTTCTCATGCCTGGGGCACTGCAACTGCCTCCTAACTCAGCACCCTGCTTTTGCCCCCGCCACCTTATAATCTGTTCTCAATGCACAGCAATCATAGGGAGCCTTTAGGAAAGCAGCTCGTATCTTGCTGCTTAACACCCCTTCATTTGGGTCGGAATAAAAGTGAGAGTCACCATCCTGGCATGCCAGGCCTTAAAAATCCAGCCTCTCTAATCCTCACCCCTCCTCATGGGTCCCTCCTCCCTGCACCCTTTCCCCTGCTCCATGTCACCCAGGCACACTGGCCTTGCTATTCTTTACACAGGCGTCCTCCCACTTGCTCTTTCCCCTGCCTAGAATACTCTCACACCACATGTGTATCCATGGGGTTTCCTCCCTTGCTCAGTCCAGGTCTTTGCTCAATTGCCACCTTCTCCGTGAGATCTTCGTTGACCTTGATATTTAGAATTGCAACCTTCCCATGCTCCTGGGATGACCCACCATCCTTTACTACTCCAAAGTATTCCATCTCATTACAATATGACCTATTTTTCTTATCACTTTAATTTCTGACTGTAAGCTCTATAAGAGCGGAGATTTTTGTACGCTTTCACTACTGTACCCCCAATATCTAGCATAGTGCCTGGCACATAGCAAGACATCAGCAAATATTTGTAACAGATACATGACTTTCACAGATAGACATGCTTCAGCTACCTGTAAACCATTACAGTATTATAACAAACTCTTAGGAACTAAGGTTCAAGGGAAATGTTCCAAAAAGAAGGGCTGCTCACTTTGGCAGCACATATACCAAAATTGGAATGATACAGAGAAGATTAGCATGGCCCTTGTGAAAGGATGACACCCAAAAAGCAGGGGGAAAACCTATACAAGAATGAGGGACAAAAGTGAGATTTTTAAAAATCATCCAAAACAAATTAATTGGCCTTAAACTCATGAGAGTTCCAACATACACATAAAACATTTTCCCTAATTAAACAGTCAATACAGAATTAAAAAACGAACACATAACAAAGCTTCTATTTCAGCCATTACTCTATAATGGCTTCTTGGATAATCATAACTTTAATGTAGGATGTGTTCTCAGAAAATGTGAGCCCCTAGGGACAGGTGTGGGAACCCAGTAACCTTCACCCCATTAACTCTTGCCTCCACTCACTGGAATGTGAAGAAGCCAAGCTGCAAATTAGATACTCTTACAAGAAATGCTCATTTCTTCTATGAAACCAAATCCTGCAAACAAGATTTGACAAGAACTGATTTTTACAGGACTAACCTTCCTGTGTCCTGGCATCAAACATACTTTTATGCCATTTACTTAAATGGCCACACCACCAGAAAAGTGGAGCTGTTGTTCCTATGGTGTTGGATTCCCCACAGTGTGTTCTTACCCTCCCCAACATCTGTAGCACGGGTGACCTTTTATAACAAGGTTGGTACTTTAACAATTTCTTGCGTGTCCATCTTGTTTCTACATGAGAGAGGCGTGAGGGCAGAAATCCTCGATTAATGAATACTCAGGGTAATGAGGATGGATCCAGTTATGACATCATCAAAGAAAAACAAGCAAAAAAAAATCATCTACATAACAAGTAGCACAGCAGTAAGCAAGCAACAGGGCCCCTACATTTCCTCAACTCCTAGAAGTCAACACAAAGGACTCCAGGCAAAGATACAATCCCCACAACATGGGCCTGTAGGGACCTCAGCCTCCCATTTATTCATCTACAGTCGATGGAACATTATCATCTTCAGTTTACACTGTGAAGAAACAGTGGTCTGAGTGAGGTGACAAATGTTAAGTTGTGCAAGGCGACAAAATGTCTCAAAAGAAAGAAAAGACTTAATTCCAGGGCTCTCTGACTCAAAGCTTGTGCTCCTTTTGACTTAGCTCTGCCTCCCACTGGCCTGGAGGTGGTTATGTAGGCAGTTCTGTGGTTTGTGCACTTTCCTGTGAATGAGTTCCCCACAACTTATCCCTCCAAACTGTTCTTGCAAAGAAGCTGTAAGTCTAATTATAGAATAAAGAGCAGGCTGTAAGAATAAAAGAAAAGGAGGATAATATTTGGGAGGGAGAGGACATGCAAGCCCCTGAAACTATACTAGACTAGTTTGGCCCTGCCCTAGCTATGGGCATGGGTCAGTGTCAGGCCTGCCTTAAAACGATGTTAGCTCTGATAATATTTCAGTATTCTTGTTTTGTTTTGCTTTTTTAAGATTTTATTTATTCATGAAAGACAGAGAGAGACAGAGAGAGAGAGAGGCAGAGACATAGGCAGAGGGAGAAGCAAGCTCCATGCAGGGAGCCCGATGTGGGACTCGATCCCGGGTCTCCAGGATCACGACCTGAACTGAAGGCAGGTGCTAAACTGCTGAGCCACCCAGGGATCCCTCAATATTCTTGTTAAAAGAAATTACTGTATATCCCCAAATAATCAGTACATTGCTAGGTAGGTAAAGGAGGACTCAATTATCAAGACAGAGAGAAGTTTGGCAAGTTGTAATCATGGTTCAATTCAGACATTTATCAACCTTTCAGGTTATAAAGAACTACTGGACAAAAGAAGTAAAGGGAACAGCCCTGAGACCATCTTTAAAGCCTGGGTTTCAAGGTAATGTAGAACTTTAAGCCCACTGGCTACTAAGGCAGAAAGAGGAAAACACAGCGCACGCCACAGGAAAGGTGGATGACTGGAAGGAAGGGTAGTGTGTGTATAAGAAGAAGAAAGAGAGAGAGAAAGAGAGACAGATTAGTTCCTATAAAAAATGATAGTTATATCAAAATGCCCGAATTTCACTTAGCATCTTAACATAACTTACAAACTGTACCATATTAGCATAGCAATTGATTTTTTCCAGTTAGAGTGAAGACTACATGGGGGAAGAGTTACCATATTGTTAGATATTTACTGTGTGCTAACATTGCTACCCAGGGAAAAACACACACTACATCCACTGGTCTCAAAAACTGTATGAAATAGGGACGCATGGGTGGTTCAGTGGTTGAGTGTCTGCTTTCAGCTCAGGTCGTGATCCCAGGGTCCTGGGATCGAGTCCCACGTCAGGCTCCCCACATGGAACCTGCTTCTCCCTCTGCCTGTGTCTCTGCCTCTCTCTCTGTGTGTCTCTCATGAATAAATAAATATAAGCTTTAAAAAAAAGAGAGGAAAAAACTGTATGAAATATAATCACATTATTCATAATATCACAATCACTTTTAGCTATTGATAATGTATTTTCTACTTCACACATACAGATAAATACATGTTTTGGCCATTAGCTAAAAATAATTCAAGCTAATTCTCTAAAAATGTAATCCATGTTGAAATGTGTCCTTAAAAAAGGCTGATGGCATACTTTGTAAAACGGCGCAGTAACAAAGGGTCACACTTAAAAAATATGCATATGAAGCTACATTTCTCTTTCACACATCTTGTCTGCAGTTTCAAAATTGAATAATAAGCATGATATTTTTAACAAGGTAATGTTCACTTCCTTTGCATATAATAAAAATGTCAGAATCTTAACTTTTCATGCCTACATAATGGATTAGAAGGTTATAAAGACATATTCAATATAAAGGTTTCCATGAGTTTTACAATAAAATGACCAGGAGAAATGAAAATGAGATTAGAAACCGAAAGAACTAGGTTCTAGTTCCAGCTCTGCCACAAACTATCTGTGTGATCTTGATCTAACTGAAGAATGTCAAATCTATGGCCTCCAAACAGCCACAACCCCAAATGACCAGAGTTGACACAGAAGTTAAAACTGACCCATCCCTAGGCCAGTACCTTAACTACCCTGAGCTTCATATTCTAAACTATAAATTGAGATAGTTGGCTTCTGAGTTCCCTTGTGACCCCGACACTCAGATTATCAAAAAACAGCAGAGTCAGAAGTCTCACAACTGATGAGCATCATTCCTCTAAAATCTGTGAGACTGCTTTAGGCCCTCCATTTTTTTCAAAGCAAAAATGCTTAATTTGCTATGTACAGTATTTTTAATTAGTAGAAGACGAGTGTATGCCAACTGGACATAAGCCTGGGTTACATGCAAATATTTACCACCAGATTGAAAGAACTCTATATACGTTGCTAGACCAGTGGACTACTGACATGATATAAGGCCAGGACCCAGAAAGAGGGACCAAGTAAATTCTTTCTAGATTCTGAGATTTCTAAAGGGAATATACACACACAATCTGCATACATTTGGATAAGATATAAGATATATTTAGAATTATTTCTCCCAGGGTATGATTTTCTAAAAACAAAAACAAAAACAACAACAACAACAACAAAAAAAACACCTGTCTGCTAATTTTTGACTCTTTTAAAGACTATATATAAAAAAACCCAAAAGGGATTGTTTGTTTGAATAAATATATACTCAAATATATTCCCAAAATTTAGCAACTTTAATTGTTAATTATAACCATTAAAAGCTTAGCCTTAAAAAAATGAAATAAAGATTAGCTTATATTGAGATACACAGAAAATGCTTTACACATATGATTTTCAGCCAAAATTCAGAGTTCCTAACCTCCATCACAGGAGTCACATCTTTATATTAGTAATAGCTTACTTCTACTGAGCACTTAGCATGTGCTAAAGCTCTTTGAATTGCTATATATCTTTGAGTCTTTAAAATAACCCTATGAGGGATCCCTGGGTGGCGCAGCAGTTTGGCGCCTGCCTTTGGCCCAGGGCGCGATCCTGGAGACCCGGGATCGAGTCCCACGTCGGGCTCCCGGTGCATGGAGCCTGCTTCTCCCTCTGCCTGTGACTCTGCCTCTCTCTCTCTCCCTCTCTCTCTCTCTCTCTCTCTCTCTCTCTGTGTGACTATCATAAATAAATAAAAAAAAATAAAATAAAATAAATAAAAATAAAATAAAATAACCCTATGAGGTAGGAATTTCTTATCTGCAAATGTAGTTGATTTAAGTCATACATATTTTCAGCCGATGCTGACAGCCATATTATACTACCTTGGAGATTACATAGTTTCATTCTTCTTTGTCTTCTTCTTTTTAATAAAAAGCAAACAAAGAAATAACCAATGATGAATATCAAGGCCGCGGCTGCAGTCAGCATGTACGCATGAAGCTGACCAAACCCAATTATCTGCATTTCCATCTCAAACCCAAACCCAATCATCTGCATTTCCATCTCTGGCTACTATGACCTAGGAACTAAACTTACTAAACTAGGAAATGCCTTCTCCATGCCACACACTGTTAGATGCAATTCCATCTCATGAAACCCTTACCACTACCCTAGATCTGTATTACCAGCCCCACCTTACAGATGAGAAGATTGAGGCTCAGAATGGTCAAGGAACTTAAACCAGGCAGTCAGAGAGCGAGTAGTAAATCAGGACTCTGATGCCAAAGTCCTTATTCCCTACGGTGTACCCCAGGGTTTCTCCAGCACAGTCACAACTCATATACAAGGTTATGATCAGAAGCCATCAGGACAAGGTAAAGCTATAGTCAACACCATATATTGAAGATGAAAGGGAAATGAATAGAATATTTTTGAAATAAAATGAGCACAATTTCAAAAGAAAAATATTACAACAACTATCAGGTCAAAGTTTGCTATACAATAATATTTGCTGTCTAATCTAAATTTCTCAATGTAGTACAAGGCTAGTATTTATATTAAACTCAAGTGATCTTCAAAAGATTGTAATTCAAATTTTATAGTTCACTGGAATCCTAGCTATTAAAAAATATGCTTCACAAAACAGACTTGGTATATTTTGATTTTTAGGCATTTTCTCAAAGTAATAATATTTGTTTACAATGTTCAGTCATTATTTATGTTATGATATAATTAACAGTAAAAGGGAATAAAAACATTAGAA